CATCGTCATCCCCTCGGAGCGCCGGCCCGTGGTGCGGCGGGGCCGATTCTCCATCCAGGATGATCGCACACGGCGGGTGTTCACGGTGACCGTGGAGCGCCTGACCAAGCGGGACGCGGGCACCTACCGCTGCGGGGTGCGATGGAGCAAGGCCTGGCCTGATGAGAGTGCCGAGGTGAAGGTGATCGTGTCCCCAGGTCAGTACTTGTGGGTCCCCCAGGTCCAGCGCTGGTGCTGGGAGCAGGGGCTGCAGGGAGGAGGAGGGTGCCCAGGCGCCGTGGGACAGCCCCGGGATGTGTCAGCAGGGCTCGGCAGTCTGCTGCCGTAGCAGGTGTCCCCTTCGCCCATTCCCCATGCCCAGGTTTCACCACGACCCCTTCTTGGTGCCCCAGGGTGCACCACCCTGCTCTCCATGCCCCATTTTCCCCTCTCATCAGATCCTTCTAGCCCCGTCTTTGCTCTCCTTGCTTTATTTTGTAACACCAGGGAGTTCTTCGCTCCGCTACACTGCCCCATGTCCCGCTGTGGGGCAGCCGGTGCCTGTGGGCACCAGGCCCTGGGCCTAGGGAATGTCCCTTTCCGTCCCCTCGGCAGGGACCAGCCCCTGTGCTGGGACACTTATGTGGGGCTGTTGTGTTGGTGCCAGGCTGGGCACGGGGTGCCCAGGCCCCCTTCCTGCAGGGTGAACTCTGCTGCGTGCACGCGTGCGTGTCCACGTTTTGGGGGGGGGGGGACACGGACACCGGGATGGTGAAAGGCCTCCTGGGCAGGGGCAGGGGATTACAGCCCTCCCACCTCAAGGAATGTGCTCTGGATGTGGCAGAGGGGACCCGACTTCTCCTGGTGTGACAGTAAGTGGATCGCTTCTGACTCACTGCAAAACCCACAGCATCTTCCCCCGCGGAGGCAGGGAGACTGACCAAGCCTCTCCTCTTTGTGTTACAGCTTCTTCCTCCTCCCCGGCACCACCCTGTGTCCTGACCACCGAGCACCCCGGTCTCGCTAGCTCTGCATCGGTCCCCACACAGACAGCTCCCCAGGGGGAAACTGTGCAACCGGGATCCTATCTCTCCCACAACGAAAGCCCCAGCCCTCCACAGTGAGTACCAGCTCCTGCTCGCAGCGGCCACCTCCCTCTAGGAGGTCTCTTTAGTGCAGCTGGAGCCCTGCAACCCTCCGGGCTCTTCACACCTCCCTTAAGGATTCAGACCTCCTGCTTTTGCCTTTAGAGACCAGTGTTTCATGCTCTCAGCCAGCCACTCCACGTGGAAAATAATCCCAGCACCTCTGGTCGCTTGGCCCCGGCAAAGCCCTGCTTGTCCTCTGTCCATCTTGCAGCTTAAGCAAGGCGCAAGTTATCACTATATGAGAAGTGGTTTCTGGCTGCAGCACTGACCCCGTTTCCTTCCCCAAAACTCAGAGGGACCGTTTGCTTGTGGAAAACCAAGTGCTGAGCTGGGTCCTGTTCTGCTTTATAGTCATACGCAGCCCCGCAGACGTAGTTGACAAAGCATGAGACCGGAGTGGCAAAGCTTCCTTCCTCCTCTCTTGCCTCTTGGAGGTGATGAAGGAAGTGGGCAAAGCTGAAGCTTCCCGTCAGCATGCTGAAGGGGCAGCTGGCTCATCGACTCCGCCTGGTTGCCCATTACAACAAGGTCAACAAATAGTGGAGCTAAACCAGAGCAAAATGAGGTGCAGAAACTGATCCTTAAAGTAGTGAAGATGCAGCAGCTCTCAGACCCGAGTGTCCATTTGCTTCTGCAGTTTTCAGTTTGCTTTGCTCCGTGCTCAGCTTGCAGCCCGACCACTCCACGCCTGCTCCCCTCCTCCCAAGGCAAGCCCTGGCACCCCCAGCCGCTCCCCGTGCACCTGCTCCGTCCTGGTTTCTCCCAACTCTGCTTCTGAGAAGTGTGAGAACAGAAACTCTTTTTCTTGCAGCTTGGACGTGGTTGAGCACATCCTCACTCCAGGCATCGTAGTGGTTCTTCTTTTGCTTGTGGTTGCGGCTGGTGTTTTGGTAATGCTGACCAGGAAGAAGGGTAAGCGGAGCTGTCACTGCCACATGCACGCTGTCTCTGCACCAGAGCCTGTCTTCTGCTATATTTGTTTTTTTTCCTCTATATTTCTTTTTTCTCCCCTGTTCCCTCCCTGATCCATCCAGTTCCTGGGTCCATCGCTGAGACCTCCACCAAGGAGGTCTCCTTTCCCCGAGGGAGAGATGGGACCGTCCCACGGGTCTGATCCTCGCGGGAGCAGGGAATGGCAGCTCTCGGGATGGGTGCTGCCCGGCACGGCGCCCGCTTGAGTCTGGGCACCGTCAGCTTCTCCAGATGCGCTCAGTTGCATAGGCCAGGCTTGCACTAGGCTTGCTGCAAAGTTTAAGGCCAGTGTGAAGGCTGGGGAGGGACGGGAGGGGATGTCACCAGCTGGCGGGTGGGGTCTGGTTTTATTTGAAGAACTGCTCTGGTTTAGATGGTTGATCGTAGAATCATAGAATCATTAAGGTTGGAAAAGACCCTTAAGATCATCGAGTCCAACCGTTAACCCAGCACTGCCAAGGCCACCACTAACCCATGTCCTTGAGCACCACATCTCCCCGGCTGTTAAATACCCCCGGGGATGGGGACCCAGCCCCTGCCCTGGGCAGCCTGTGCCAGGGCCTGACAGCCCTTTCGTGAAGAAATTTTTCCTAATACCCAACCCAAACCTGCTCTAGCGCAGCTTGAGGCCATTTCCCCTTGTCCTATCCCTTGTGACTTGGGAGAAGAGACCGACCCCCCCGGTTCCAGCCTCCTTTCAGGCAGTTGCAGAGAGCGATGAGGGCTCCCCTCAGCCTCCTCTTCTCCAGGCTGAGCCCCCCCAGCTCCCCCAGCCGCTCCTCCCCAGCCTTGGGCTCCAGCCCCTGCCCCAGCCTCGCTGCCCTGCTCTGGCCACGCTCCAGCCCCTCCATGGCCGCCTTGGGGTGAGGGGCCCAGCGCTGAGCACAGCATTCGAGGGGCGGCCTCACCAGTGTCCAGTGCAGGGGGACGATCCCTGCCCTGGTCCTGCTGGCCACACTGTTCCTGATACAGGCCAGGATGCCACTGGCCCTCTTGGCCACCTGGGCACACTGCTGGCTCATGTTCAGGGGGCTGTCGACCAGCACCCCCAGGTCCTTTTCCGCCTTGATGGGGCAACAGGTTCCCTTCCTGCTTTACAGTGAGATTCACAGCGGCAGCGCAGTTGTTAATACATGTTTTTTCCCTCTGGTTTTGCTCATGTCTAACTGTATCTGTGCTTCATGCAGCCCTCTCCAGAGCAGCTGTAGAGATGGACAGCACTCACGGCGTGTTGCATACAGTAAGGCAAACCGCAAGAAGTCTTGGGATGGCGTGCTCCGAGCTCGCCTGGGCAGGGGAAACGTTACACCCCGAGCTGAGCAAGCGAGCAGCCAGATCCGTCCATGGCCCGTTAGGCTGGGAGGGATCCTTCAGTCTCCGTTCGCCAATAGAAAGACCCGACCAGGAATTTTTGTGTGACTATTGCAGAGTATTCCTAGGAAGGGAATTTAGGATTGAGTGAGAGGTTTCTCCTCAAGCCCCTCCAAGCGTGGGAGCTGCTTCTCTGGGTGAAGCAGCCTTGGGAACCTGCAGCAAAGCACGCCCGAGGAGGCTGCGGGGCAGCTGATTTTTGGTCACTGCTTGGGAAGTATTTTCTCATGTTTGCTGCCAGCTTTCGAGGAGGGGCCGGTGTCACTAACCAAATTCCCCCTGGGGAACATTGAGCCAGCCCTTGCTGCAGGTTAAATTTTCCCCGTGGGCTCCTGCAGCCATCATCAGGAAAGGCAGCAGGACAGGAGATGTTCCCACCCCTGCGGGCTGCAGGCAGGGGAGCAGCAGTACGTTAAGAGCTCATCCCTCTCCTTCGCCTGTCAGGGAGAGGATGCCTTGAACTACGCCAACATTAACCACCACACGGGCACGGCCGAGAGCCAGTTGTACAGCAATGCCGAGGCTTTCCGCTGCTTGGCAAACACTACGACGGAATACATGGAGGTTAAGCGGAGCAATAAGGTAGGAGAACGCAAAGCAGTGCCGAGCTCAAGGCGCTGGGTGGAAGGCCAGGGCAGGTGGGCGACAGTGCAGGCAGCGGGATGGGTTGGGGGGGTGGGGGGGCACATGCCAAGACGGGGTGCAAATGACCCTGGATAATGTGGGTGCCTGCTCCAGTGCCCACAGCTGCTTCTGGGTGCTTAAAGCAGCCAAGAGAGGTTCCAGCAGATGGTGTTGCCCTGAAGCAACCCCACGAAGGATGTTTTTTGTTTATCCCCCTCCTTTCCCAGTGTTTGGAAGAGGAAAAAGAGGCTACATATGCCAGTGTGAGGAATTCCGTGCCGGAGCAGCAGGAGATCTACGTCAACATGCCGTCAGCCCCACGGCCCAGAGAAGAGCCCTGCAGCACAGTGCGGAGGGCGTGAGCCAGCCCTGGCCCCGCGGGCTGCTCCTGCTGCCGGCAGCGCCAGCAGCACACGGGCTGCCTTTCTGCTCAGGCAGGAGCTGGCTTGACAGCGGAGCTGCTGCTCTCGTAGGCTCGGATGTTTTCTTGCAGCAGCCCCGAAGAGGATGAGGTTGAGCAGGAGGCACGGAGCGGGATGAGGATGAAATCATCCCTCTGCGTTTGGAGACCTCATCTGTACAGCAATGGTGCTAGGAATAAAAATTACCCCTTGCATTGGGGTAGCACAGGCCAGAGAGCAGCCAGGCAGGGTGTGGAAGTGCCCGGCGGTGGGAGGCAAGGGTGGGCTGGGGGTTGCAGGTGGGCTGCCTGGCTCCCTGCACCCAGCACCCGCTTGCCCCTTTGGCTGCGTTATTCAAGCAGGCTGAAGCTCCCAAACTCCCTGCTCACCTCAGACTAACTTTTTTTCATGCCGATGTCAGGCAGAGCTGGCAGCTCCTGAGAAGCAGGACAGCGAGAAATGTTATATCCAAATGCATTTGTTATATCCGAATGCATTTGTTCTATCCAAATGCGGGGGGACCTGGGTGGAGGGTGCGGTGCATTGGGGTCTCGGTGCAAAGGAGGCGGCAAAGCTGCTCCCGTCCCTCCTGCGCAGCTGCTGGGAGCTGGCTCCCCGACCCCCCTGGTCCCACAGCCCCCAGGGAGGTTTGCTTCTGCTCTCTCCCCCCAGCTGGGAATACACAGATGGGCTGTAACTGCGACCCTGCTCTTCTCTGCTTTGCTGATAATTTATTTGCTGGCACCCGCTAAATACGTTCTTCTGTGTAAAGTATTGCTCCTTTATCAGTGACAGCAACGGAGAATCCGATAGGATCTAACGCCGTATTTGGCTGTATTTGTATGGCACTTTTCCGCCTCGCTAAGGGGTTTATTGCAGAGTGTTGCCCCGAAAGCGGGTCCGGCCCCTCGCTGGTGCGCAGGCAGACTCCGGCAGCGTGGGAACCCAGATCTTTGAGGGCAAGGACTCCGCTGCTCCAGCACAAACCTGCAGCCCCGCTGCGGCACCGCTCCCCGCAGGGACGTCCCACAGGGCCGTGCTTTGGGCACGCTCTAGCCCACTGCCTGCCGGTGCCCTCTGCGCATATTCCCTCTGCTCCTGCCCAGCACCGGGCGATTCATCCATCGTGACAACCCACTCCCCCAAAAAACAGGTCACGGGGGTGGGCTTCTATTTGTGAGGCTGAGTCGAGTGTATTTCAGGGCTTGACTTGGAGAGAATTCATTAACTTTGTTAATCACCGCAAAGCTTTGTTTCAGTATTTTTGTAATTATTTTGTTTGAGAAGCTATGTGGAGCATCCCTGCTCTGTCAAAACCCAAGGCAGCTGGAAGTAAATATCTGTGGTACGACAGTTGTTATTCCTATAGGTTATTCCTATATAAGGTTATATTTCTATATAAGCAAAATTCCTCCTGTGTTCAGTCAGGAGCTGAACGCACACAGGGAACAAAACAGCGATGGCACAGGCAAGCGTCATTGCAATTTGTAATGAAAACGAGCATCCAGCCAGATTCCAGCCATCGCTGGGAAAAAAGGGAAAGCAAACCCCTCTGCACCCACGCAGCCAAACTTCTTCTGCCACAAGTCTCATGTGGAACGGGAAAAAAAAGAAAATCGCATATTGCTCCTTCTGCTCCAACATTTATTACTGGAGATAATAACACCCCTCTCTGAAGGAGTCAGGAGGAGGAATCAGTTGGATTTTTTTTTTAGGTAACTGGATCCCATTATGCCATATCTGGAGGTAGTTTTCATGCTTTAAAAAAAGAACTAAATGGGGCTTTCTTAAATTAAAGCCCTCGCTGCAGCGCTAAGGCAGAAATAGCCACCGGCTGCGTGATGGGGGCGCGCGGGGGGTCGGAGGGCGCGGGACCCTCGGGGTGTGCAAAGGTGGGGAGTTTGGCAGCACCTTCTGCAAGAGCCTTTTTGAGCACCAAAGTTTTGACAGCTGAAGACTTTCAAGCTTTCTCGGATGATTTTAAGAGTGTAACAAGTTTGCCTTTTCTCCAGTGTTAGTGGCGTTTCAGGGCAGCTGCCTGGAAGACAGAAATAACGCCTGGCAGGTGAAACCTCCGCGCTTTCGGCGTTGGAGGGGCTGACTCCCGACGGACACAGGGCTGGGAGCAGAAAACCTGAGCTCTTCCACGCAGACGTTCCCATGCAAGTGGTTTTGCGTGGAGAGACGAGTTTTTGGGATGCTGTAGCTCTGCGTAGCCAGGCTGGTTTCAGGGGCAGGGATGCTGATTTATACTGTGCAACCAGCTCTGCCCCAAAATCACGATTTCCAAGCTGTCCTAGTGCACAAGCTTTCCTGTAACTCGCCCCTTCCTGAAAGGGAACGGGGATTTTTCTGGAAGCACCAAGAGCTGCTTCTCCACCACCATCTCCTCCAGGCAGATGCCAGCCTTGAGCTGCTTATTTTGGGGACCTGCAAGGCAGAGCCCGAGTGAGGAGGGACAGCGGGAGGGGGATGGATGCAGGAGCATTTTGCAAGTTCATTTTCAGAGCCAGGCTCGGTTTCTAGTGCTGTCCTCATGGGTGAGGGAGTCGGGCACAGCCAGGCAGGGATGCTCCCTGATGTCCACCTTGTCCCACATAGCCCTGCTCCCTTCTCCACCTTCCCTCCATCGCACCTATATTTCATGTACTGAACCCCTGTAACTCCTTCAGGTGTAAAGGGGATGACTTCTGGAACGCATATATACTCTATAACAAAATTTGCTAATGCTCAGGGGTGCTCAGCAGCAGAGAAAAGCCTTCCCTTGGCCAGGGTGGGAAGGAAGAGAGTCAGAAGCAGCAACTGAGCCTTGCTGGAGAGAAAAATGCTTCCTGGGCAAATGGGGAACTTGTGTGAAGCTGGGGAGAGAGAGAAACCCCAGCAGGACAGAGCTTGGAGAGCCCCCGCTGCCTGGCTCGTTAATGAATTCCTCTAGCCTCCAGCCCCCAGTTAGCACATAAGGAGAGACGAGCAGATGGGATGATCCAGGCAGAGAAGGAGCTTTTCTTCTACTCCTGCCACAGCAAGATTTTAAGGAAGGGGAGACCAGGAAAGCAGCCAAGCACAGAGCTCTCACTAAGGAGCTGGGGTGCTGCTGCCAGCCCGGTGTGCTCTGCTGCTGGGGCAGGGGATGGAGGGAGGGATGGACGGATGGATGGATGGATGGATCTTGGAGTGGGGGGCAGTGGGGAAGCCTTGGCTCCCTGGGCAGGACGTAGCTGTCTTTCTTCTGCTCTTTGGGCTTTGTTTGGCTCTGGGCTGGTTGAAGCCGGGGCAAAAAGAGCAGAGTCCTGTGCAGGTGGAAGAGCCTGTGCTGGTGCTGAGGCGTGCTTGTTGCTGCCCGGGTTTTTTTTAGGGAAGCTGTGCAATAATTGAGTTTAAATAACCCCTGTAATAAACAGGTTTGGTCATGATCTGGTAGAAACTTGAGTGTGATGCAAGTGGCAGGTCTAACGCAGGGGAGGGGAATTATCTGGGGGCTGCTGGCTGGAGTCACATGCTTTACCCCCCTCCACCATGAACTAGGGGTGCACCCAGCTTTCTGCTCCTGCCTGTCCGGGGAGGAGTGCGGGATTTGGGGAGCCCCTCCATCTTTCCTTGGAGCTCTTCCCTCCTCGCCATCAGAGAGCCCACGTGCCTGAGGCTCCTGGCTCCCCCTTCCCCAGGGACGCGTGCTGGGGCAGGTACCCTGGCTAAGAAGCTGGGGGGGGAGCACAGCGCTTGCACCCCTGGGGTTGGGCAACTGCTTCCCAAACTGCTCTTGCTACCTGGCAAGCTGCAAAGCGACAGGCTGTGGGAGTGACTCCGACTTGTTTTCGATCAACAGCCTCCAAACACCATTAAACTGTGATTTGTCTCTTGTGCCTTGCAAGACGGCGAGCTTGAACAGGGAAATAACACAGGGAAGAACAAACTTCTGCCAGCAGAGGAGGGAAGATGAGTTTTTTTCCCTTTTTATTGACAAGCCATGTGTTTTCTGGCTTAAGCCTCGCTTATGCGTTGGTCAAAGCACCCGTGAGGGAGCAGCGCTGGGGAAGAGCCACGGCCGTGCTCACTCCTGGCCCCGGCACTGCCTCCTGCCCAGGGATGGATGGGGCATGCGAGGCTGCCTCCGAAGCAGGCTGGCCGTTTGTTATCTGCAGGGAGGTCGCACCCTTGCATGTGTGAGCCTTTTTCTGCCGGTGTGGAGATGCTGAGGCAGTCCTGCAGCTCTCAGCCTTCACAGGCGTGGACCAAATTGCTCCTGCAGAAGGGGAAGCCCCCCCGGAGCTCTGCAGGCTGCACAGAGCCCTCCTGCAGCCCGGGGAACCCCTCTTATCTAAACCTCTCCCCCTTAAAACCCTCTGGGCAGTTGACGCTGCAGCGTTCCCACTGCTCTATCTGCAGAATCTGCCCGGGAAGGTCACACGAGATCACGGGGCTTCCCGGGGCTGCTCTCGCCACCCAGACACTGCTTCCTATTTCCCCTGCTGAAATACTTCTCCCACAGCAGCTTTTACAGAGGGGAAGGCAGGGGTCGGCCGGCGAAGCTGTGGTTCCCATGGCGAGGGTCTTCCACTGGCCTGGGCTCCATCCCAGGGCACTTCTGCTGCCTGCAGCCACCTCGGGAGCTCGCCCGGAGCTCTTCTCGCTGGGTGGGTGGATGTCCTGAAAGAGGTTTTGAATCTTTTCAGGTTTTATTGCAGCAGAAACAGGAACGGGGTGGGGATTTTTTTTCCTTAAAGCAAGCTCAGGGGAAGGATGGTTTTGCGCAGAAGCCCCTGCCATGCCCATGCCTTCTTGCAGGTGTTTCCTGCCGTCGGGGCTGCTCTTGCTCTGGCAACCCGGTGGCTCTGCGGCATCAGCAAACTTGGCACTCACCCCTGGGCACCCAGAAAGCCTCCTCTGACAGTGCGGGGGGCCCGGTGACACCTCTCACTGCTGAGAGCCCCCTGAGCAGCATCGCGGGGCTGGGGGACTCC